CCCTACATCATAATTTCTTTCGGCCGAGGTCAATTTGTGAGAGAAGAACGCGCACGGGTGTAGCTTTGCGGGCTTACCCTGGCGTTGTGAGAGGACGCCTCCCGCTCCTGTCTCAGATGCATCCACCTCCACCACAAAGGGGAGGGCCGGATCCGGGTGCCTGAGGACCGGCGCTGAGGTGAACATGTCCTTCAGTTTCCGGAAGGCCGAGGCGGCAGCCTCATTCCACCTGAGCTTCTTGGAGGACCCCTTGAATAGAGACGTTAAGGGTGCTGCAACAGAACTGAAATTACGGACGAAGCGTCTGTAAAAGTTTGCAAACCCTAGGAACCGCTGGAGCTCCTTGATAGTCTGGGGCTCGGGCCAGTTCATTACTGCCTTGACCTTCCCCTCGTCCATCTGGACCCCCTGGGGGGATATTATGTACCCCAGAAATTGTACCTGTGTCTGGTGGAATTCGCACTTCTCCAGCTTGACATACAAGTGGTTCTCAAGCAGTTTGTCGAGGACTTGGCGTACATGCCTGACATGCGCCTCCAGATCTGTGGAGTAGACCAGAATGTCATCAATATACACTATTACACTCCTGCCTATGAATTCCCGGAGTACTTCATTGACAAAGGCTTGGAACACTGATGGGGCATTGGCTAATCCAAAAGGCATCACCCGATACTCGTAATGCCCTGTTGCCGTGTGGAACGCCGTTTTCCACTCGTCCCCGTTCCTGATGCGAATGAGATTGTAGGCGCTGCGGAGATCTAGTTTAGTATATATCCGAGCTTCTCGCAGTTGTTCCACTGCTGCAGGCACCAAAGGCAGGGGGTAGCGGTACTTAACGGTGACGGAATTCAACCCCCTGTAGTCAATACATGGTCTGAGACCCCCATCCTTCTTCTTTACAAAAAAGAAACTTGAGGCTGCAGGTGACGTGGATGGGCGAATAAAGCCGTTGGCAAGAGCCTCCTCCACATATTTTTCCATGGCCCGGGACTCTGGTAAAGATAATGGGAAGATCCTACCTCGGGGTAGCGTAGCTCCTGGCACCAAGTCAATGGCGCAGTCCCATGGTCTGTGTGGTGGCAGGCACTCGGCGCTCGCCTTGCTGAACACCGCTGCAAGGTCTCGGTAGGCCGGGGGGACCTCTGGTGTGGCAGCCGTGGCTGTGCTCCTGATGGTGGCTGTTCTGAGGGGTTTTGTCAAACACTGAGAGACACACTTGTCACCCCAACGGAGCAGTTCGTTAGTGTTCCAAGAAATTTGTGGTTCATGAAAAGCCAGCCATGGCAGACCTAAAATAACATCGTTCGATACATTGTCAATGACTAACAGGGATAATTCTTCAGAATGCAGAACACCCACAACCAGGGTAACCGGGACGGTAACCTGTGAGATGAAGCCTGACCCAAGGGGCTGATCGTTTATGGCGGTAATCGATAACGGTGGGGAACAGGGCAACGTAGCTAGTTGCAGTTGTTGTACTAGGCGTTGACTAATAAAATTCCCCGCAGACCCCGAGTCTATCAACGCAGGAACGGTTGTTGCCTGCCCCCTGCTCCCGATGATAGTGACCGGTACCAGGCATTGGTGCTGGGAGATGTTTGGGCAGAAGAGCGTACTCACAGTCAGTGGCTGTTCCCTGGTCCGCCGATGGGGGCAGTTGTTCCGGTAGTGCCCACCCTTACCACAATAAAAGCACAACCACTCCCTCCTTCGTTGATCTCGTTCCTCAGGGGACAGTCGAGTTTTTCTGAGCTGCACTGTTTCCCCCTCCGGGCCTGGGGTACCCTCGGGGACGCTGTGTGGAAGACCCCTTAGCGGGTGGTCATCACTGCCCCTGGACTCCTTCTCCTGCTGTCTCTCCCTCCTGCGACGGTCGAGTTGGGTAGCCAGGCTGATGAGGTCCTCAAGGGTATTGCCCCAGTCCCTGTTCACCAGTTCATCCTTAAGAGACTCGCTAAGGCCATGATAAAAGGTGGGCATCAGGGCAGAGTCTTCCCACCCGCTTTCTGTTGCCAAGGTCCTGAAGTCTATCGAAAAGTCAGACACTGACCGTGGGCCCTGGCGTAACTTCAGGAGGCGCCTCGCAGCCTCCTGCAGGCTAGTAGAGTGACCAAACACCTGTCTTAGCCGTTGCATGAACCCCTCATGGTCGGAACAGACAGGTTCCTGTTGGTCCCACACGGCCGTGGCCCACACCAAGGCTCTTCCTGTGAGCCTAGAGATGATAAATGCCACTTTAGCACGGTCTGAAGCAAACTGTGGGGATTGCAGTTCAAATATCAACGAGCACTGCGTCAGGAAACCTCTGCAGAGTTCGGGACTACCATCATATCGCTGAGGTGGCGCTAGATGAAGTGCTGACTGTGGTAACGCTGGTGCGAGGGTTCCTCTGGTAGAGGGAGCCTCGACAGGGGCAGTAGCGGCGAGCGCCTGAACAGCCGTATGTACTGTGTACTGCTGGAAATCCTGGAGCGCTGCTGCTAAGTTGTGCACGGACTCCCCGACTCGACCCAGTCGTTGACCGTGCTCTGCTTGGACCGCGGCAAGATGTTTGACGATATGTGCCATGCTGGGGCCTCCTACAGCCCGCTGGTCCGGGTCGGACATCTCCAAGGACTGAAGGGACTCTGCGACTCTGCTGGGTCTGATTGAAGGCGAAGTCTTCTGTAACGCACCACAAGAGACAGGAGTGAAACCCAAGCGCAGAGCGCAGCTTTATTGTGGAAGTACAGACAAGGGTTAGGCGTGGTCGAGTCCAGTAGGCGGGCAGAGGGTCGAAAGCCAGGAGAGCGGGGATAAACAGAGGCACCGTCAGGGGGTCAGGCGTGGTCGTATCCGGAGTACAGGCGGGTGGTCGAAAGCCGGGATTACGTGGAGTTAGACAGAAGTACCGTTGAGGATCAGGCAGGCAGGAACGAGGTCTGGGACAAACGAGAGGTCAATAACAGGCAAGAACAGGAGATCGGGAAAACGCTCGGAATGTGATGGAACATGCACAAGACTTCGCAAGGAGCTTTGGGGAGTCACAGGCTTAAGTACAGGGCTGGCTCTGATTAGTGACGAGCCCCAGGTGAGTCGGTGGGCTGATCCCAGATGGCACAAACCATTATGGCTCAAAACAGAGGGGTGACTGAGGTCCCGATCTTCGCACCTCAATATTCCGGGGACGGGGAGCGTCTGCCTGTGACACCTGCTGGTCATACTGGGACTTGTAGTTCTGGCCTGTGACTCTTATTTGTTCTAAGCAGTGACCTTGGGGGAAGGGAGACGCATTAATCCAAGATAATTGCTGCCGACCATCTGTCAGTCCGTCAGTCTGTTTTGTTGACCACATCATAATCTTTTATTCTGTCACACACACTGTCTTTAACGGCCCTGATCTGAATGATTTGTAACATTTTCTTCTGTTTCCAGGTTTTTAAATGTGCTGATTGAGGAGAGAGAGACCAGCGGTGTTTGAATACTTTTATTCCACACACATATTTCTTGCTATACTTCTAAATACTGGCACCTGTTTTTTCCCTGCTGCAAAGCCAGCAATCATGAGACAACGTACAACTGTGCACAACGTGTTGGTTTGTTCATGATTTAAGACTCAATGCGGTTTAAATGTGAGGCAAATCAAATCTAAACAGTGAGAGCAATGAGTCCATAGATGATTTAGAAAATACTGTAGGAACTGTACCACACTGTTAGAACATCTGGGAATTAATCAAAGACCTAAACATATTGTTCTGTATTTGTTTCTCATACTCTCAGTATGTTCCCTACAACACGGCACACGCTTGGCCCCTTTAGAAACATGCTCATGGCTTTGGTTGAGGAATTAGCATGAATAAACAATGCACTGCTGATGGGAGCATTGCATTACTTTGGTGCTTTACGGCCAAACAAATTCAGACCTGCGCACCCTGTGGGCCTCAGAGACCTGATTTTATGTCCTGTCCTGCAGTTACACCACCACTCAAACATGCCGTGGTCAGCTGATATGTGTGCAGACTGAAGGCCCTGTGACATACATAAACTGAGTAAGTAATTGCACACCTCGTCGTAAAGCCGGTTGGCTTTAATATGCCCATCATCTGCTGAAGAGCGTCTCTGATTGGTTATTCACAGCGAGACAATACCACTTTTTGATTAATTGTATGTTTGTTCTGTCCTAAAGCGGCACAAAACCTTTGCACAGTGACATACAGCTTTCAAATGTATTTTCTGCCAAGTGCACTTTGCTTATGGGGTGATGCAGTTCTTCCCTAATGCTCTGCCATATTAACACCCCCCCCCTCTATGCGTCGAAATCGACACGTTTAAATGAGAGCTTTTGTGCCGATATTGCGGTGAGGGCTTTTTGGGGGGTTGCTGGTAAATGACAGATTACTCACATTTGTGTGAGCCTGTGTAATCCGATTGTGTTCCACTTCATTCTGTGCAAACCTCATGTCGTCATAGCCTACTGTAGGAGCGCTTCAGTCTGGCGCAGGCACGACGAAACGCCCGCAGAATCATCCGACGCACTTTGCACGGGCCGCGTTAAGAGTCGCATCAACTCCAGATAACTGTATCATGTAACAATCAATAGCCGGTTTACTCATAGTATTATTATTTGTATCATTGTTGTTGTTGTTGTTGTTATTATTAATCTTTTGTATTAGTAATAGTAGTAGCTACTACTAGTTAGTAGGTTAATACGTTATCTTTTTTAATATATGGTGTGCATCCAACTCAAACCTTCACATTCACCATCAAAAGGAGGAAAGAGAAGAAAAAAATCGTAATAACTTAATTACGGCAAAAGTAGCAATAGAGACGTATTGGTTAATTCGTGTTTTATTATAATAGTACCGCAATTGCTGTTTTCTTATCTATTTTTTTTAATCAATTTTAAATCATCTTCTATTTCATTCTGATATTCCGTTTTCTGATCAGGCATTGACTCAAATGCTTTTTATTTTTTATATATTTGCTTCCATCGTATATTTGTATGTATCACCACCAGCATCATTTTGTTTCTGTGAGGCGGGTCGCGGTGCTCGCGTGCGATCCCCGTCGCCTCCATCGACTCGCTCTGCGCTCGACTCGCTCACTGTACAGCAGAAAACTCGCTGCGCTCCGAACGGCTGCAACTTTTGCAGAGACTCCTCGCTCCACAGACAATGTCGCACGATAGCTGAAGTGAACCCGTCCGCCGCGGCTCGTCGCCCGAGCCTCCAGATAAAGAAAAAAGGAAGAAAACAACAACAACAACAACAACAACAAAAAAGCCTCGCAGGCTGGCTGGGACACCGGATCGCACAGCCGTCTCCTCCGTCGCTCCACTCTGCGCATCGGAACCTGCGTTTGGAGGAGAAGAAGAAGAAGAGAAAAAACAACACGCCTGGATATGAATGATGAGCCTTTCCCTCACTAATGAACTGGGCCGGTAAATGCAGGAGACCGCGGCGACTCTCTCGTCACTGTTTCAAGATGGCAGATTTTCATTGAGTTTTGAGCAGAAATCTCGCTTTATATTTTTGCCATGAATAACAGGAACCCTTGCACCGATGGCCCCTGTATACGAA